ACAAAAAAAAAAATTAGAAATACCCAAAAAAAAATAAATAATATAAAGTATCTTTTTTTCGTAGTAAAATTTAGAGATATAATTTTTATGTAATTTTATATTAAATTTTTTTTTCCGTCTCATTCTTGTGATTTTGTGATTTTAAGATTTTTTGCTTGTTTTCTTCTCAGCTCATTAAGTGAGCTTTGCTTCCTACTTAGTGTATCCGTCCACCGTCTGTCTGCTTGTATCTAACTGTCTACAATAAGTATCTTTTTTATTTGTCTGACTGTTAGTAGGTTTTGCTTTACTTTATGAAATTGCCTGACTCGTGCTTATGAAGTCTTTGTGTGCGCGTACTTAATTTTGTAAAATACTAATTTGCAAATCATGCCAATAACAATTTTAAACGTAATATTATCTTTATTTAATTTCATTTTATTTTATTTTCATTTTTTTTCCTTTTTATTACTTTTTGTAATTTATTGTTGCTTATTTTGTAGTAAATTTTTCATTCATTTATTTGTAATTTCATTTTTTTATATACAGTTTTATGAGCTAATATTATTTAAGTTATGCGGTTGGCTTTAATAAGCCATCAATGACACTACAGATTTGTAATTGTAGTGTAATTTTTTTTTTAGATAATAAAATTTTATTTTTTTCAAAGTATTTATAATTTTTTAATTAATCAAATAGCAATATATATTTCAATTTTATTAATTTTTTTATATACAGTATTGAAACTTATTGTCACTGTTACTAACATTAGCAACATTGTTAGCTATGAAAAATATAGTGTTCTCTGTCTTAAAGACTGAATTAAGTTTGATTTGAGTTACATTAGAACAAAGACTACATTTTGCTGATTTAATATTAAGACTCTGTGGTATCATCTACCGCAACGTTCACTCGATAACTTCTAAAAATTTGTCTCCCAAAATGGTGCTGCAGTAAAGCACAGTGAGAAATGTTTTACGTGTTAAGGCGAGTAGCAACTAAACGAGCTCAGTTCTGCTATGATTATAATTTTATTCCTTTTGTTTTTTAGTTGGGGGTAAACTAGCCTATGTAAAATATTTATAAGATATAACTAAATCAATATCAACTCGTCTGTTAATACAAGTGACATTAAAGAAATAAGTTAATGATAAGTTATATTTAAGAATAACATTGCTATATCCCAAACTAACCAATCAATAAAGGATTTGGCCAAAGAATTTGTCCAAAGAATTTGTACAATGAATTTGTCCAAAGAATTTACCCAAAGAATTTGTACAATGAATTTGTCCAAAGAATTTGTCCAATGAATTTGTCCAAAGAATTTGTCCAAAGCTTTTGTTTAATGAATTTGTCCAAAGAATTTACTTAAAGAATTTGTCTGCTATGGCTGAAAGAGTTAAAGGGCACTGTACGTTATCGACACTCCACCTTCATATACGAGACACCAGTGCAGTGATAGTCTATTAGCTTTAGTACACTACAAATCCAATGTAATATTTTCAGTTACTATTTAAAATTGTGCTTTACAATGAGAAAGTCTACTTTTTGCAGATTAATTAAAAACATTGCACTAGAAGTGCCTAGATAGAACAAATGGTTCTGAATGTGACGTTTAGGTAGTTGCTAATAGATGCAAACAGTTCTAAGCAGTTGGCTATTTCTGGTTTCACATTAGCCAGGAGGCTGGAAACATAGTTTAGTACAATAGAATAGTACTGTGCTTCACCAG